TTAAAAATCTTTATTAGTGGGCCAATCATATAGTGCTGCACTATGATAGTAAATCATTTGGTATGAAACACCCCAATGTATTGTATATTGTGGTCGGGTATTATATTGATATAATTTAAAGCCCGATTTGTCAGTCGATCATAAGGGCTGAATCGGATTAATATCTGTAATTTACTAAAAAACCAGAGGTGCCTTTTTTCTTTGGCGATATTCATTTCGTAATACATGAAAAAAATAATAGAAAGAAATAAATTCATGATCATAAGAGTTTGTCGAATAAAAATATTTATATGACACATCAATAAAATGCAAAATTTTGATAAATGTGATGTATAGTTATTTCGTACATGTATTGTAGATATATACGTGTAAGCAACAGCAAATTTTTACGTGGTGTGTTTTATACAGGCCACTTGTGTTTATAATTTTGTTGATAAGTATATTACTATTTAAAGGTGTTATGGAAAAATTGAATATAAATTCATCGAGAAGAGTAGACATTTTTGTAATATTTTATTTTTTTCAAAAAAAAAATTATTGAGCTATGCCTTGTAATGCAGATACGATAGTTAAAATCAAGGTCGTTAGAGAAACCGAAAAAGATGATTTATTAGTAGTATGGGCTATCGGTTCTTATCCTGTTGGAGATGAAGATAGTGAGATTGAGTTAATTTTATTTGTGCCAGTAAATTTTGAAGAGAGAGATCCTGATTCGCAAGCGATTTTTCAAAAGGATGAATACTTTTCTGTCGGAGGCAAAATTGTACCTGATCGTTATAATAATAGTATAAGGCCAAGGTAATTTTATTTTTATTTATTTATTTGACTGGTATAATATTTGATTGTTGTTAAAAAGAAATAAGATTTCAGGTTTTTGAATCTATTGCTATATTTAAGTTTGCATATTTCTATTAAGAATGTACTTATTTTAAGTACAGTAGTTGATAATTATTTATAATGGGGATGGGTATTTTTTATAAGGATACATGAAATTAGGTGTTAAAATGTGTATTATGCGATGCAAAATTATTTAATTGATTTTTATAACCGACGGGGTAAGATATGAAAACTTGTAAAAAATTTTTTTATATGTTTTAACAA